GTCCTCAATAAAACTTATTCGGGTCATTTTGGACTTATTTGCTGAGTCCAGAGTTAAATTGTTTTCCGAAATCAAATTGCTGCTTGAATGTTATAATTATGGCTACTCCCACTTTCTGGATGATAATGTCTATGATCTTGTGACAGCCGCTATTGGCCTACACTCAAATGGGGGTAAATACAGGCTTGGTTAATATGTGTATCAAGTTTGTTTATTGTTTTCATTAAATGAAATAATAAAATAATGATGTCACACACAATCATTACTAATCATCATTAAAAATGAGTCACAGGCACCATCATTACTCTGACATCCACTAGTATGGTACATTTTTACTTCTAGATGCATTTATACAATTTCACTGATATGCATTCAATGAATGCAGAATACATTCATTGAATGTAGAATACATTCATTGAATGTGGAATATATTCTGCATTTATTGAATGCACATTCAGTAAATGCAGAATACATTCATTGAATGTGAAATACATTCACTGAATGTGAGATACATTCATTGAATGTGAGATGCATTCATTGAATGTGAAGTGCATTCATTGAATGGTAGAATTTCTGTTTTTAGTTGAGAACATGTTTATAATGATAATAGTTGATAATGACAAACCACGGCTGCCCTTTTTTAGTTTGGATGTTAATTGTATATACATGTAGTGTGCTTGTTCAAATTGTCTTGATTTTTAATCAACCCATTGTAAAATCAGAGCACAATTCAGGGATGCGTTAGCCATTTTTTATTCAATGCGTGTCGAATGGAATAAAAAATGATGGAATTATGAAACTTAGTGCCCAAATCTCCAGCCCAGAAATGTTTCCAAACACGGCAGGAGCCTAGCTAGCCTCCGTAGCAGGCTTATAGAACTGGGGGTTTGGTGGTCTTCGGCTGTTTTCTGATGAAAAAAAAAATGGGGGTATTTTAACCATGCCGGCTATGTTGTCTAGTATATGCAATTAGAAAATAGCACATAAAAGCTCCCAAAGACCCTGAAGACCCCCAGTTTTTGGCGTGCTATGGAGGCTAGCGGGACCCTGCAGCTAGTCGGGGACGCTAACTTTCCCACCGGTTCCCCGAGCAATTAGACCCACATCAGGCAGATTCATATCATATCATCCCGATCTTCTCCCGTCGTGTATTAATGAACGTAGCGCCGGCTTAACCAGAGGTGACAGGCGGGGAGGGCGGGAGGAGCGGGGAATAATCACACAATCATGGCACCTCACAACACGCTGGCACACTCATACATGTTTTATTAGCTTCTGTCAACGTGTTTCCCGGCCGTTTCTCACGTCTCACGGCCGGGATTTCCAGTACAACGGTCATAACGGAGAAAACTGCAACTAAAAATCTACAAAGTATCATGCAAGTTCATCTGGTAGTAATGATGGTATAAAGTTAAACTTTATTCCAACACAAAGTGCACATTAACCATCTTGTGTAGCTTTTGTGCTGGAAGAAAGTTTAGCTTTACACTATTATAAACTATCCAATTTTTTACTTTTAACGTTACGATTTGTGCCTTCTGGTTGCAAAACGACCGTACTTACCTGGATGGATCATAACAAACGGACGAATAAATAACAAACAGAAAGCTACACAGTACTATTTGTACTTATATTGCAACAAGAACTGGAATGATTTTGTTGACAAGGGAAAACCACAGTCTCCACCAGACACCTTTGCAGGCAGAATAAATAGTGGTAATTGGACCCTCTAAAACTGAACCCTCTATTGCCTGCCAACTCCCCTGGCCAGGTACATTCTTTTAATCTCAATCTACTATTTATTCAGCCTGCAGAGGAGTCTGGTGGAGACTATAGGAAAACTGCACAGTATTTACGTATATTGCACGGAGAACAGGAATGGTTTTGCAGACAGTCTGTAAGGAAGCCTTACTCTCCAGTCGAGCCCCCGGTCGTTGCCGGTTTCTTCGGTCGGGCGAGAAACCGCGGTCGGATCTGCAGGCGATCTGTGAGGGGGGGAGGGTGTCGTATCAGCTCAGGGTCAGTATTTGTAACTGCCATGGTTACAAGGTCTGAATGGTGTTTAGGCCATGCCAATTTGATCTGTTGGTTTTTCAGAAAAAATATGAAGTGACATGGCAAAAAAAAAAGGAATAAAAGCAGACCAAGGTATCATGTGAAAGCCCCTAAAGCCATGGTAGGACTAGGAGTTATGAAGTCAGTGTTACTTTTTGGCAAACCACTGCATTGATAGATGGAAAAACTGTTAACAACAAGAGAAGGGACTTCCTTCAACTGTTGGGACCAAAATATGAGCATTTTGGAGTTGATTCAGAGGCTGAAATGTTTGTTTTTTCTGACAAGTGAGAAAAAAAAATTAAGCGGTCGAATCCGTGAACCAACAAATTAAATTGGGGTGGCCTTATGGAAAAAAAACTCCACATGAAAACAAGATAATTTCTTTTATATAAAAAACACAAAAACAGGAGGGTTTACGTAAGAAAAGCACAGAAAACAAGATGTACAAGTACAAAAAGCACAAAATAACAAGAAAATAATGTCTTTCTAAGTAATATGTGAAACATAATACTGTGCATCTTGTGACAAGTTGAAATGTGAAAATGTCAACTTGTCACAGTAAAGTGACACTTGTAACTGTGACAAGTTGAAATGTGTGTCAAAATGTTTACAGAACGACTTTCGCCACACGATGTGACGAGCGAAACATTGCTGCCAGCCGTGCAGGATGACACATCAGGGAAGCTCCGTCACCAGAAATTAAGTGACAATTGCAGGTAATTAACTTATTTTCCCCCTGAGGACTGGGCAAACTGCTGCGTCTCAATTTCACTGAATTTTCCTGGCAATTAACTCCAATAACACACGGGGGGGATTTATGATTGTTTGCTTAGGAAAAAAGACTGGCTGAGAAAATATTCTGTATGTATAACATAGGACAATAAATAGATGTTCTTGGTAAAGTGGGAGGGGGTTGTGAGCATTCACTGACTGAACCATAAACGTTTTTACCAAGTTTAAAAACTGCTGTCATCTTTTTGTCTAGGAGTTTTCTCGTCTTTTTACCACATCTAAGGTCCTTTTTAGCAGAAGCCAAAATGGCTCTCCTCGCATTTAGAGAAGAGGTCTAATATGCCAAATACCTATCTACCTTAGCATACTAAAGAGTAAAAGACCACTTAGTCTAGACTAAGAAGTTCCTAATCTACGTATTCAATTCCTATCTATGAAAATATGAAAAAGCAAATTTATTTTTGAACTCTGTAAGCAGCATGAACAGACCACCCCTCCCCTTCTGCCTAACCCTAAAGAGCCCACCTATAAACAATACAAATTTGGTGACAAAGTCGGTGGCAAATGTCTACCTTAGCGTTCTTGGAGTTGAGAGTTTGCTTGACTTAAAAGACCACTATGTTAAGTAGTAAAATAACTATTGAACTACTGAAAATATGAAAACTACATGTAATCTTAGACTAGTACTAATAGAAGCAGATTTTTCCATAACTCTGTAAGTACATGACCAACACCCCCTTCCCTGTGGGTCCTCGTACGGATGGAACGTTCTGCTGACGAGGCAGTTACCATGGAAACCGTGACTTTTCCCGGCGCCCCGTGTGGGTGATTAAAGCGGAGACGTGTGAGTCGTTCCGTGCGGAGAAATCTCACTGATCCGCGGGGATAAATCCCGCAGATCCCGCCTGGATCACAGGATTCATGTAAAGAGCAAATCCCTCAATTATCGCAGTAAACTTCTGACAGCGGTGGGGAGTGTGTGTGTG